CAGTTGATCTGATGAGTGCGTGTCAGCTCCAAGTATTTCACGTTAGTTACAATGTAAATTGCTCTTTGCTGCCCAGGAATACACTTTAAAATCCTCCTCCAAAAACACCATAAGCCGAATCCTATGTTTTTTGTTTTGGCTTAGTCCATGTTGCATTGTTTGTTGGTCTTTTTTGTAGAGTTTTTCACCATGAGGCCAAATGAGTTTCCTCACCTTTATTTGACCAAACTCATTGAGTTACTTACACCATTGTGGGACGGGGTAGGTATCATATCCAGGTTCTGTCTCATTTTACCATTCATCGTTCCCATAGCAACTTGTCACTCAATGGATATACATTGAAAGGCTGGCATCCCAATGTCCCTGCCCTCCTTGAAAGGCCACTCTGCCCCTGGATGGACAGTGGCATTCTGCAGCTGGACAAAGTCAGAACATGGTGGCGAAAGGAAAGATGGCTCTGGGTTTCTTTAACAGGGTCCTGGTGATGTGGCAGTGCGTGGACAGAAGTTCTCTTCCCCTGGAGGACAGACAGTGGACACTGCGCCATGAGACACTGCCAGTCTGGTCTGAGGTTGCCGCCTGGGTTGGTGCTGTCTCTGGGTGTGGGGGGATGGCCAACAATGCACAAAGAAGATCAATGAGCTTTGTCGCTCTGCCAGGGTAAGTGCCATACTCTCCTCTCTGCTACCTCACACTCACTTTAAATCGGCCAGTGTCCCCACCTCCCAGCAAGGCTCACGCTCTTTCAATCTCCCTTTCAACATCTTGCCTCACGTGGTCACATTTCCCCCGAAACCCGCACAACACTAACCCTGTATGCTCTCTGGCCATCTCCCCAGCTTACCACCTTCCTTCCAAATACACCAGCACTAATAGCCATGCCCCTGCTGTAACCTCACTCATTCCCCACCCACTTTCTGTCATTACAGGATAAGGCAGGATGTGGCTGGATAGCTAGGAGGAGGGAATGCATGACATTTGGATCTTCTGCCTGGAGACAATCCTTTCTCTCACAGGACAAGACCAGGACCACTCCTGCGGGAACCTCCCGCATCCATCCTTCTGAGTAAGTACCACGCTGCATGCTTCTGTTGCTGTCAGTCTCATCCACTCCATTGCCAACCACTGGCCATGACACCATCTCTCTTGTGTCTTACAGGTAGCACCAGCCTCTCTGCACAGAAATGCCTGAGTCTCTCAGAAGTGCCGTCCTGGAGATCTGAGGATGATACTACTGGTGCATCAGAGGAAGCATCAATAAGTCTGCATTCCGTATCCCCCACCAGCTCAGACACTGAAGCTTCTGGGGAAAGGTGGAAATCTTTAGGTGTAGAGAGCATGGGCACACAATCTGGTGAGTGACAGCTCTGCAGTTGGCTGAGGAAGATGCTGCCCTGGCAGCTGGCACTTGAAGAGCTGCTGGGCCAAAGACAAGGCATCTGCTCAGCCACAGGCAGGAGAGGACCCTGTGGTCTCAGCAATCAGGGATGTCATCCCCACACTTACACAGGGAGGAGGTGCAGTGGTGGGTCGTCATCTGGGAAGCAATGGTCCTCATTGCCCAGAAGCTGCAGCTCTGCAGTGAGTCATGTGACTGTCTGGCTACCTGTATGGGCATGTTGGTGGTTGCCATGGAGGTCCAGGCCCAGCAACCTCAGGGTCTATTGGAGAAGTCTTCAAACCTGCACTCCACCGACCCAGCGGTGGGTTGGGAGGTGAGTCAGGAATTTTGACACCTGTCCAGTTGCCTCCTCCTCAAAAGTGCACAGAGCAGGGTCTGGATGCACCCAGCTGGAGAAGGAACATGCAGACTCTTCGAAAGCCTCCTCTCAGGACACTCCAAAGATGACCAGGCACTCCACCTCCAAGCTGCCTGCACTCCCACCATGGGAGTTCAAGCTGAGGAGGGTCAACATTGCCTCTGGCAAGATGGACTTCAGGATGTCTGGTCCGTCCAGTCACAGATGTTTAGGTTGATGGACTCCCCCGCTGACCGGACTCCCTCTATCACAGCTGTGGAACTAGGCAGCGCACTGTGATACAATGGGTGGGGGAGGAAGAGGAAATCTTACTGAGGCCACTTTGGTGGTATGGGAGACAATAGCTTGCATATAATAATGTACAAAATGATCAGAGGTATAGATAGAGTGGACAGCCAGAGACTTTTTCCTAGGGTGGAGGTAGCTTTTATGAAGGGACATAGTTTTAAAGTGAAAGGAGGTAGATATCAGGGAGACATCAGAGGTAGGTTCTTTACTCAGAGAGTGGTAGGGGTGTGAAATGCATTGCCGGAGAGGGTGGTGGAGTCGGCCTCATTAGGGGCATTTAAGTAGCTAATAGATAGGCATAAGGATGATAGTATAAGGTAGGGGTGGAGGTTAGATAGACCTTAGGTTTCGGGTGAAAGTTCGGCACAACATCGTGGGCCGAAGGGTCTATACTGTGCTGTACTGTTCTATGTTATATGTTCTATGTTCTATGTTCTAAAACTCTGCTTATGTATAAATGTTTGTTCTTCAATGTACCATGTAGTTGTGAATCTCTGTGTCAGTCCAAGAGGCATTGGTACACCATCTGGCAGCAGTTCCATTTACACTTTCTGCTGCCTTGGGAAAGCAGCCAACATAATCAAAGACCCCTGCCACCCCGGTTATACTCTGTTCCAAGCTCTTCCATCGGGCAGAAGATATAAAAGTTTGAAAAAATGTACCAACAGATTATCAGACTTGTGAATGGACTTCTCATACATTGAAGTTGATCTTTTTCTGCACATTCTCTGTGGCTAGAACACTAGATTCTGCATTCTATTCTATTACCCTATTGTACTTATGTAAGGTATGATTTATCTGGACAGCGCGCGAAACAATAGAGTGAAAAATATCTTGGTACGTGTGACAATAATAAATCGAATCAAATCAGAATGGTTACTTTTGGTGGACGTCTGCTCTGATAGGCTACTGCACCATCGTGAAGCAGGGACAATAATGTATATATATATACACAGCATTGGGTCATGCTGAAACCTTTCACCGTCCTTGTCCAACATCCCTAATACTTAAAACAAAGACAGAGAATGCTGGAGAAACTCAGCAGGTCTTGTAGAATCATGAAGAGTTAACATATCAAGTCCAGTAACTCTTCTTCGGACCTGATAGTAGCTAGGAAAAGGTGGTATACGTTCTGAAGACAAGGGGTGAGGGCTGGAGAAGTACACAATAGGTGGAGATGGAGTCCAGTTAGGCAGACAAAGGTTACAGGTAATGGTTAGCCAGGGAGAAAGAAAACCTGATCATAATTTTCACTTGAACAATGAATGTGACCTGATAGAAGTTTACAAAATGATGAGAGGCATGGATAGAATGGATAGTCAAAGTCTTTTCTCCAGGGTAGAAATGTCAATTATTAGGGGACATAGGTTTAAGAAAAAAAGGGGTTAAGTTTAAAGGAGATGTGAGAGGCTGTTTTTCTTTCCACAGAGGGTGATAAATGCCTGGAATGCGCTGCCAGAGAAGGTGGTGGAGACGGATACAATAGCGACATTTAAGAGCACCTTGACAGAATATGCAAAGATTTGATGAATATGAACCATATAGAGGCAAATGGTTTTTATTTTAGAAAGGTGTCATGTGCTGGCACTGTCCTAGTGGGCTGAAGGGCCTGTTCCTGCACTCTGCTGTTTTTTGTTCTTTGTTCATAGGAACCATTAGTAGATGAAAATGGATTGGAAGCAGCCCTAATGTTTAGCTCCCACTGTACAGAAAGGTATATCGTTGTCAGTGATTGTCCAACACAATGCTGTACAGCTGCTGATCAGGAAAACAAACTACTCATCGGGTGACTGCACTCAGTAGCAAGGCAAGGCAAGAAAAGCATGTTCCCGGCATGTTGTTAAGTGCTAAGAGAGCAACTGAGCACCTGTGAGATGCAGCCCAATCCCATTAGTGCCTGACCCTGATTGCAAAGAGTCCTTGCTGTCGCCGTTCAGTGCTGGTGGTAAGTGTGCCCTGCAACGCATGTCTGTGCTTCAGTGCTTACTGCCAGTGTAGTGATGAGGGGCTGGAATGGTTGTGAGGGCTTGTCAGATGCTGCATGCTAATATCCAAGGAGAGAATGTGCCTTTGGATCGCTCCCTGGGCTGCAGTTTTATCGTGGGCATCATGGAGGTCATTCAGCACAAGTGACAAGATCAATCCACTAGGTGCCCGCTCTGCTTTCTATATTTCTCAAGATCTGGTTTGTTTGGTGAGTTTGGTAGGAAGATGAGTGTTAATGAGGTAAGCTGCGTTGTTGGCAAGGCATTAATTGCTAACTTGTTGCTGCATAGTGAGAAGCCAGCTCCCCCAGTCGTGCAAAACATAAAAAATGGAGTGAATTGCTCCCAATGTTGCGATGGGCTCAGCCAGTTTCTCACCCAAATGTGTCACACATGTCACCATGGCCCAGGTCACTCAGGTTCTGCTCTATTTATGCTTCAGTTAAAATATCAGTGTTTCTTTCACCAGTCTTCTAATGACCTTCTGTGTGAGTGGCTATTTTCATTCTCAGGATTATGAACAATATCAATAATGCCAGTATTTATTGCTAACCTGACGGCAAGGTTTTAGTGAGGCACCATCTTGGTTAGCTCCAGTCTGTGTGGTGTAGCTAATCAAAATGTGTTTGTGCTCAGTTAGAGTAGGACTGAACCTATCGAAACCTGCTCAACGTGATTTACTGAGAAACAGCATAAGGACCGGAAAGTTTCACTGGTTCACTCCAGTAAAAGGATTGACGTTAAAATTTTGGAAATTTTGCTTCAGTTATGTTCTTGGAAAGATCCAAATGTTTTCACATTCTTTCATCTTATCAATAGTGTGTTCCTTTCACCCTTTAGATATCTGCCAAGTCTGCTTGAATTATTCTCTTCAACTCACCCTTGTTTGACATTACCAACCATTTTAATTGATAAACGAACCTAATGATTGAAATGTCTCCTACATATTGTCCATTTCTCTTTGCAGGTAACATCTTTGTCGTCAGCCTTTCTGTAGCTGACCTGGTTGTGGCAGTGTACCCTTACCCTGTGATCTTATTTGCCATTTTCCAACATGGATGGAAGCTGGGTGATATTCACTGCCAGGTTAGTGGATTTCTGATGGGATTGAGTGTCATCGGATCAGTGTTCAACATTACAGCCATTGCCATCAACAGATATTGTTACATCTGCCACAGTTTCAAGTACGATAAGTTGTACAGCCACAGGAACACGACCTGCTACCTGTGCCTGACCTGGGTCTTAACAGTTGTTGCAATTGTACCGAATTTCTTTGTGGGCTCTCTGCAGTATGATCCTCGTGTATATTCCTGCACGTTTGCCCAAACAGTGAGCTCCTATTATACAATTGCGGTGGTGGTTGTTCACTTTCTAGTCCCCATTGGAGTGGTGAGCTACTGCTATCTGAGGATCTGGATTTTGGTCATCCAGGTAAAAAGGCGGGTGAAACCTGATGAGTCCAAGTTGAAGCCCAGTGACTTGAGGAATTTCCTCACCATGTTTGTGGTCTTCGTGCTCTTCGCCGTTTGCTGGGGGCCTCTGAACTTCATCGGTTTGGCTGTAGCCATTAATCCTCTGGCCGTGGCTCCGAAAATCCCGGAATGGCTGTTCATCATGAGCTATTTCATGGCTTACTTCAATAGCTGCCTCAATGCAGTCATCTATGGGGTCCTCAATCAGAACTTCAGAAGGGAATACAAGAGAATCCTTATGTCACTGTGGTCTCCGAGACTCTTCTTCAGTGATTCATCAAAATTTGGAACCGAAGCAATGAAAAGTAAGCCCTCCCCAGCAGCAACCAACAACAATGTGGCAGAAGTGGACTTGTAAGATAGCATTTGAATGTACTCTATTGCTTATTTTGTATTGTATCATCAGTAATATTAAGAGATTGTCAATGTGCCATTTATCTTTTGCTGGCCATGCATAAAGCAGAATAATTTACGTTTGTCGCTTACTACGTGCCTATGCTCTTGGATGTTTCAATTTTTAATTGTATTTAAAAATAAAAGCTGTGAGATGTTCAACTTTATATATGATATTCTAAACATATACCTATGTACCTGGTTGGTCAATGCTCTTCATAAACAATAGCTTTATTCTCTATTACTCACTAAAACACTTTTGTTAAAATGAAATATGTTTATAGCAAATCAGTTTTTCCCATCTTTATGGAAATTGTGAGTAAAAAATGTAGCTAACATTGGCGTATACCATTCTGTTACAAGTCTATTGCACCACTTACAAAACCAGAACCAATATGATTTTCTCCTCTAGGTGTAGGTTCAAGATACTTTTGGCCCAGGTTTAAGTGCGTGAATTTTGTGTGACTTACAATTTGACCCAACCTAATTGATTTCATCATTACAAATGAACCATTGATTAATCATTTTAAATGAAAATGAATAGTTTTAATGAACTGGATATGAATGGAGAGGATTTTGAGCGAATTAGAATTTTTTGCTTTATTTATGCCAAAAGGCGGGTATAGCAGACGGATTGATTCCCATTAAGCTTTCTGTGACAGCTGTACCGTTTGGGAGCATCCTGATGGGGAATCAGATCTTATGTCTCCTCCCAGCTGTTTCTCCTACCTTTTGTGCATTGCCACCAACGTGCATTCTTGAATCTCAATCATTTTACATGATAACGTTCAGCAACAACTTTGGTAATAAGGGCTTAGCTCTCGCACTGTGGTAACATCCAGTTGTCCTTTCTATCCTCTGCCATTGATTCCAAAGTCGTTTGCCTGCCCAAAACTAAGGCCTAAGTTGACCAGAGTTTTCTCTGGCTCAGCGCTAATAAAACCAAAGCCAACGTGTGCCCAAATTTTATCCTCACTCCACCACCTTCCTGGCTGCTACTTCAAGCTAAGCAGAAGAAATTGGCAAGGTATGTGCATCCCTGGATTCCTAGATGACTTTTCTTTGCAGTATTTGACCTGTTATCACAATATGCTTTCTTCCTCATTAATAAGCCTCACTCCCTCCCCTCACTGGCCATTGCTTTTTTTCCTGATGCTAAAATACTAAACCAATATGTTAGGGGGAGGCAATGGCCCAGTAGTATTGCAGCTAGGCTATTAATATACAGACACAGCTAATGGTCAGGGGACCTGGGTTCAAATCCTGCCATGGTAGATGGTGGAATTTCAATTCAGTAAAATATCTGGAATTAAGAGTCCAATGATGACTATGAATCCATTGTTGATAGTTAGGAAAGCCCATCTGGTTCACTAATGTCCTTTAGGGAAGGAAATCTGTAACCTTACCCAGTTTGGCCTATTTGTGAACCCCGATGCACAGCAATGTGGTTGACTCTTAAATAGTCGTCTGGACAATTAGGAATGGGTAGTAAATGTTGGCCTGGCCAGTGAAGTCCTCATCCCATAAATGAATAAAAAAAAGGATCAGAAGTCTCAGTTTGTTTAGTGGGCCGAGAGAGACTTCGTCACTTGTCAGTCTCCAAAGCTACAAGGCAATTGGCGTACCAAAGCACTGGGGGGCGTTCTCATGGCATTTGCCCTGCGCTCCAGCAAGGAATTCTCCATTCTCATTTACAGCCCCCTTTTAAGGCCTTGCCCTGTGTAACCTGAGTAACTTTGTCAAGCTGTGTGCACTCCTCCCCCAACCTCAGCACCCGCTGTGCAATCTTCCAAAACCAATTTGCAACTGGCACCCAGCCACACCACCTGCAGCTGTCCCTTCACTCATCAGCCCCTTAAGCCTCAGTCTTGCCACCAACTTCTCCTGCTAAGATGTATGAAAACCCTTGGCCTCACCTGGTCCCTTGACCTATGCCTAAGTTCATTTTGTTTTCCCTTGGTTTAATGCTCTAGCTTTCTGTAAATTGCTTCGAGATGTGTTTTGCATGTGAGGAGTCCTTAAGTGCAAGTGGGCATTGTTATTTAGCAATGACAAACAAACTTGCCATTCATCCAAAATTTTCTACTGCAGTCCAATATAAAGGAGAATAATTGTAATCTGTGTTGCTGTAAGTAAACCTTTTATTTTACGATAGTGTGAGAATAAGTAAGAGCAAAAGTCTATTCTTGCTTAATTTCATTGTTGATACACAAAGTTCGCTACAGTGTTCAAAATAAAGATAATTACTTGGCTAAAGTGCTGCAGTGGGTTTATTTGAGGGAGAATTCAAATGTAATGCACATGGAATTTGTGTGTTTTTGAGGGATGGGTGGGCTAGATACTGCATCAGTCCTTCACAGTGGACGTTTGTGTTCTTTTTAACTATGTTATATGTTTCTATTCAACCAGATGAAGCCAGATTTCCTTCCTTTAATGTACAGTGTGCAATAGTTCCTGAGGAACATGGACATCCATATTGTCATGTTTCCTGCTTGCAAGATCAGAACTCACACAGGTCAGAGAATGCAAAGGTGATGGGGGACCAGGGAATGGTGCGAGTAGGATGTGATTGGCAATGCTTTGAACGAGCTCACGTTTATGAAGGGTGCAAGGTGGGAGGTCAGCATGGAGGGCATTGCAATAGTCAAAGTCCAGGCTGGGAGGTGGGATTAGTGTAAATAGGTCGGTACAGGCTTAATGAGCAGAATGGCCTCTTCTATGCTGTATGACTCTGTGAATTTATGGCTATGAGATCATAAGACCATAAGACATAGGAACAGAAATTAGGTCATTCGGCCCATCGAGTCTGCTCCGCCATTCAATCATGGCTGATAAGTTCCTCAACCCCATTCTCCGTCTTTCTCTCCGTAACCCTTGATCCCCTTGATAATCAAAGACCTATCTATCTCAGTCTTAAATGTACTCAATGACCTGGCCTCCACAGCCTTCTGTGGCAGTGAATTCCATAGATTCACCACTCTCTGGCTGAAGAAGTTTCTCCTTATCTCCGTTCTAAAAGGTCTTCCCTTTACCCTAAGGCTGTGTCCTTGGGTCCTAGACTCTCCTACCAATGGAAGCATCTTCCCAACATCCATTTTGTCCAGGCCATTCAGTATTCTGAAAGTTTCAATTAGATTCCTCCCTCATCCTTCTAAACTCCAATGAGTATAGTCCCAGAGTCCTCAAACATTCCTCATATGTTAAGCTTTCCATTCCTGGGACCATTCTCGTGAACCTCCTCTGAACCCGCTCCAGGTCCAGTACATCCTTCCGGAGATATGGGGTCCAAAGCTGCACACAATACTCCAAATGTGGCCTGACCAGAGCCTTATAAATCCTCAGTAGTACATCCCTGCTTTTATATTCAAGTCCTCTTAAAATAAATGCCAATAGTGCATTTGCCTTCCTGACTACTGACTCAACCTGCAAGTTTACCTTGAGAGAATCCTGGACTAGAACCCCCAAGTCTCTGTGCACTTCAGACTTCTGAATTTTCTCCCCATTTAGAAAATAGTCCATGCTTCTATTCTTCTTGCCAAAGTGCATGACCTCACACTTTCCAACGTTGTACTCCATCTGCCACTTCTTTGCCCACTCTCCTAACCTGTCCAAATCCTTCTGAAGCCTCCCCGCCTCCTCAATACTACCTGTCCCTTCTCTTATCTTTGTATAGTCTGCAAACTTAGCCAGAATGCCCACAGTTCCTTCATCGAGATCATTAATGTATAAAGTGAAAAGTTGTGGTCCCAACACTGACCTTTGTGGAACATCACTTGTCACCAGCTGCCATCCTGAGAAAGACCCTTGTATCCTGAATCTCTGCTTTCTGCCAGACAGCCAATCTTCTATCCATGCTAGCACCATGCGTCTAACACCATGCGCCCTTATCTTACTCAGCAGCCTCCTGTGTGGCACCATATCAAAGGCCTTCTTGAAGTCCAGGTAGATAACATCCATTGGCTCTCCTTGATCTACCCTGCTCGTTACTTCCTCAAAGAATTCTAACTGATTTGTCAGGCATGACCTCCCCTTGATGAAACCATGCTGACTTTGCCCTATTTTACTATACATTTCCAAATATTCAGAAATCTCATCCTTTACAATGGACTCCAAAATCTTACCCACGACTGAGGTTAGGCTAATTGGTCTGTAATTTTCCATCTTTTGCCTTACTCCCTTTTTAAACAGGGGTGTCACATTAGCGACTCTAGCAATTCCTGAAAGATCACCACTAACACTTCCACTATCTCTTCAGCTGTCTCCTTTAGAACTCTGGGGTGTAGTCCATCTGGTCCAGGTGATTTTTCCATCTTCAGGCCAATCAGTTTTACTAGCAGTTTTTCCTTGGTGATGGCCACCATACTCAGCTCTGCCCCCTGACTCTCTTGAATTTTTGGTTATTACTCGTGTCTTCCACCGTGAAGACTGATGCGAAGTAATTATTCAGTTCCACAGCCATTTCCTTGTTCCCCACTACTATTTCTCCACCATCATTTTCCAGTGGTCCAATGTCCACTTTTGGTTCTCTTTTGCCCTTTATGTAGCTAAAGAAACTCTTAGTCTTCATTTATATTACTGGCTCGCTTACCCTCATATTTAATCTTCTCCCTCCTTATTTCTTTTTTTGTTGCTCTCTGTTGGTCGTTGTAAGCTTCCCAGTCCTCTGGTCTCCCACTGCCCTTCACCACATTATATGCTTTCTCTTTTGCTTTTATGCTATCCCTGACTTTCTTAGTCAGCCATGGTTGCCACATCCTCCCTGTACCATCCTTCTTTTCCCTAGGGATGAATTTTTGCTGTGTCTCCTGAATTACTCCCAGAAACTCCTGCCACTGCTGTTCCACTGTCTTTGCTGCTTGGCTCCTCTTCCAGTCAATTCTGCCCAGCAACTCCCTCAAACCTCTGTAGTCACTTTTATTCAGCTGTAATACCATTACCTCTGATTCTATCTTCTCCCGCTCAAATTACAGAGTAAATTCAGTCATATGTAACAGTGACATTATTAAGGATTTCAGCAGCAGACAAGTTAATGTAAAGGTGCATACTGGCAATGTAACGCAGATGG